AACCGTCCCTATTGCGGTCTGCCGCAATCGTCACTCGTCAGTGCTTCTTGAAATATTGCACATGATGGACGTTGAAGAAGTTGCGGCAGTTATTTATTTATATCATCGTAGAAAATATTGCCAAAAAAACTCTGCGTAGTGTCTAGCGCAAGGAACAAGCGATGACTGAGGCGGGTAGGACGCGGTATTTGCGGCTAATTTGTGCAATCGCAATCAAACGAAATGCCATCGTTTCGTCTTCACTTTACAAAGGCCGGGAACGCACCATAGCATAATAATGGCTGTCCATAGTTGCCTTCTACGGCTATTCCGTAAACTTGTTGGCCTACCTTTGTAAATGTTTTTTTTTTAAACAAAAAACAGATTTCATCATGATTTTGACATTATGCAAACAGTAATCATATGTTTAAGTTATCAGCAATATCGACAATCATAGAGTATCTGTGTGTTTATAGGTAAATAGAAATTTAACAGTCTTTCATGAAGGGTCGGTATTATCTGAATAACTTATAAAATTATCACTAAAAAAAGAATGAAAACACTATATTTAAATCTGACATTTTGTAATTAATTACTCAAATTAAATATTCATTAAGTACCTACTCCTATAATAGTCCATGGCCCGGATTTTATAAAAAGATAAAAAATTTGCCCAAGGTGTTGTCAAACATCCAAACACGGTTCGTAATTAGAATTTGTCCATTTAAGTTTATACATGCAAATTAGAATCTTCTTTACCGGCCTGCGTTTTTACATAATTTACCATGAATGTTGTTTACTTGAGTAATATGTAATTATCTGTACATGTACGATATAGTATATAAAATTATCTTAAAGATAAACATTTTAATTTGGCAATTTCTCTTTTTATGTACGTTAATTTTGAATTGCTCATGTGACAACACGAAGATGATGATATTTATTTATCCCTAATGGGAAAGGCAAAGGACTTTAGTACATACAGCCAGGTCTTGTTGACAACACGAAGACTTTTTACGCGCCAAACTTAGATTTTTTAAGTAAATTTTATGGCCTTGTATCGAAACCTTAAAGACAAAACATAAATATTATAATTATACCACAGACAATGACATTGGTTTACTTTAATTGTTTTTGATAATACGCATTACGCTTATTTTGGCTTAAGGGTCTCGTTAGCAGGCCATAAAATCTTCAAAAGAAAAAATTCGTATTTTCTTCAAACATTTTCGCAAAATTACATAAATTAATAAGTATTTAATATAAACAAGAAAGTTCTTTTTTACTTACTAATTATTTCTAGGTATACTTTGTTATTTCATCTTCTATTTTACCAATTTATGTTTGGCGGCAGATTCAATTACCGACTAGTTTCTAGTTAAACCTAATGAAATAAAAAGCTTACACATAAATGTGATGGTAGAGAGGAATTGGATAAAATCACTGCCGTTTCCGAGAAAAGTTTATAAAACTAATTGCCATTATTCTGACCATAATGGTAACAACAAATCTTAGATGTCATACACTTTTGAAACAGGTTTTATTGAAAACGCAAGGTCTTTAACTTCTGCCTGCGACTTCATCGGAAAATCCTTACGGTAGAAAATAATAGGATGTTATAAAAACAACATACATAATTACTTATTCCATGTCCATAATTAAAAGGTATATATTAATTAGTATATTTATTTATTCCTTTATTCATATTTTACTATTTTATTTCTGTTTGTCTTTAAAGCCATTAAATCATCAAAAATCGAATGTACAAACTTTTAGATAGATACACATTATGCTTTCATACATTCGAAAAATTCACATAAAAACAAGTAATTTAAAAACAGGATTTCTACTAACAGTATATCATATTTCTTCAACTCCTAATGATGTGTTTAGTTCAGAAAATGCTTTTAAACGCATAACTAACTCGATTCGCTGTATGATTTATTTTTTCTACACTTAATTAAGCTGAGGTCCGTATGACATTCGTATATCGGGTACTTAAAGCAGAAGCATCCATTCAATTATATCTAACGGTATATCAATAGTCCAGTGGCAATACAATACCATATGGGTCTTGAACTCAGATGGCATCCGTTTTAGTTTTATAAAAGTGTTTATCACATATTTTTAAAGGTCAAAAACAATGTTACGTAAGATTCAGGAAGGAGTCAGCAAATTTTTGACGTAAGGGAGTCATACTTAGCGCTATCTAAGAGACTTACAGTCAAACTCGGAGTTGTAAAAAGTGAAACAATACCTCGATTAAAATAAAAAAAATCAGTGGCTGTACAAGCTTTTTACGTCGGGGCCTCAGATTTATGACTCCGTTTCATGATCATTTGACAATCTAATAGGTAAATTGGTGATCAGCCTCCTGTGCCTGACACACGCCGTTGACTTTTTGGGTCTAAGGCAAGCCGGTTTCCTCACGATGTTTTCCTTTTTCCTTCACCGTTCGAGCGAATGTTAAATTCGTACATAGACAGAAAGTCCATTGGTGCACAGCCGGAATCGAACCTACGACCTCAGGGATGAGAGTCGCAAGTTGAAGCCACTAGGCCAACACTGCTCAATACCTCCATTATCTTTTCATTAATATCTCTCTTTCGTAAATTTAGTTGTTTACCCATGGAGCTTTAAATTTCGTAGCTGAGTTGCACTGTTGCTTTTAATCTTTTAATAATATGTCAATGAAAGTAATATCTGAAATATTTGATCTCTTAACAATATTTTGACAGATTCAAAGCTATGTACATTGTCACTTGAGAATCGTTTTAGAATTCCTTCTAAAACTAGTTTCCCAAACAGAAAGTATTTATAAATTGAAAACAATTAGATAATTGCAAGCGTACTTAGATATATTTCCTGGTACACTTACGAAAACTATGTCAGTGAGTTATACTGGTTGCTGTAAATTTAATGTACCTATAAAGAATAGACGGAAAAAGTTCTATGGTCGTTTCCCGGTGAAAACAGTAGACACGAAAGACGATCCCTTGTGTACAAACAAAATGTCATATCAAATTAGTTTTAAAATTACTTTATATTAAGACTATTTCGGTATTATTTATAACTAAATTAAACATCTATAAGTAGCAAAATAAAAAAATAATTTTGCAGTATAAATATTATTTAACTCGCCTTATGCAAAAATGAACATGATCAAAAATTGCAAACCATGTCGTAAATTACCAATAAAGTGATCAATCAATCAGCTACTAACATAAAACCGTCTATTTATCTACATCGTGAACGTTTAGACAGACTAGGCGCCATAAATGGAAAGGGTGCCACTTGCAAGGTTGAGTCATGCTGCCAATAAAAATAATCACTCCTCAACAAAATTGGGAATGATAGCGATAAATTTATTTGAACCTAAATAGATTGATCCTATTACTTTTTACTTGAAGATAAAAAAAATTACAATTACACAATAATTATAGATTATTTATAGTTATGTATTTGTATTTGCTTAAACTTAAAGATAACCACTTGAAGTGGGATGTCTTTACTGTGCAGTAGGAAATGTATTGGAGGAATTCAGGAGGAAAAAAATGAAATTATTACATTAGATCGTCTGATCAGGTCAAGAGATGTTACGTTTAATGAAAAACTTAAATCTATATTATATTACTTTGACGAACGCCGAGAAACAAAAAGAGATATTTATTTTAGAGAAGGTAGTAAAACTGATGGGACTGATTTGAGAGATTGATCATTAATTAGACACTAGTAAATTCAACAATTTTGTTATGAGATTAGCAACAGAACCGTTCTCATAAACGGAAGCATTAATTAGTTCAGGGATAGAGTGTTTAGGAATGGACATTAAATTTCTTAGAGATCGCAGTAAGTGGATCTTGGAAAAGTTACAAAAAAGTGGAATGTCTAAAAACCATCTTAGTGAGTATTTCACATTAAGTTATTATTAAAATAAGTCTACAACGAGAGATGTAAATACGTAACTTCTTTCGTATATAAAATCACCTAAGTATGGGTAGTAATTTAATTTTTGATGCTGTAACTCTTGCGAAAACACTTGGAGAAATCTCTTGTACGAAATACTGCGTTGTTATAAATTGTTTTTTTTATTGCTTATGATCTTATTATTCCTCCTGAATTCAATCTACAACTCTCCCACTGCACAGTAAAAACATCCCTTTTCACGTGTTAGATCATAAAAGTGTTTCTTATAACAAGCTTCAATTAAAATATGTATTTCAACAATATCCCGCTGCTTATAACTTACAATAGATACATAGAGTCTGGCTAATGAAAGAAGATATTTGAATTATTTGAAAACTTTCGGATGGCAACACATAATGTGCCATGTAAATGATTTATTGTCTTGATACTTCATGCAATTATGTACTCATTTTTATTTCTATTATATATTTTTTCCGAATAGTTAACAGTTATAATAGCCTAAACTTTATTTTAATTGATAGAATATTTCGTTTCTTTCGCAGGATTTTGATTATTCCGAATTAAGTTGTGTTTTATAATAAATATAGTTTTAGTTTTCCATGCAATGCTAGTCATTTTAAGTATCAATAGTAAAATACTAAATACGTATAGTATTTAATTTCATAGAAATACAGTTACTATCAATGTAAAAAATAATAAAATAAAATCAAGTGTCAAGAAGGTTTAATCCACAAAATATATCAAACTTTTAGGGATACCATACTAAAAAAAAAATATTTGCCGCGCGTTTTCGTTATCTTTTTTCATTAGCCAGGCTCTAGAAATGACAAGAAGGACCTATGATCTTGAGTGTTCACTTCTTGATTGTAGAATAATATGAATATTCTAGTTAATTTTAGTCTGTGGTTGAATCATAAATGTTGACAAAGGTGAATCGTGGTAATTTTCGCGTTAAAAATCGTTGCTTGCTCTTTACAATTTATAGTATATTATTATTTATTTAATAAATTCAAACTTAAAATGATGTAATTTGGTTGGTCTTTTCAATACCGCCAACAACTATAATACATTCCACTTTTATTTAATTTATTATTATGGCCGGAACGCCGATCAAATTAGGATCTATTATAACCTTTTGTGTTGTATTATATGCGGTATATTATAAGCGAAATGATATTGGTGATGAAAGATTATCTCCCGTGAGAGAGTATCTTTTATTTTTGGAGAGAGAAAACGCAGTTGGCTCAGGAATAAGACAACCTAAAGTGGCTCTTGGTTATGGAGCCTGCCACGATTTATTTGTAAATGCAACCTCATTCCTAAACTTTAGAGATTTAAAAGGAGCCCCGGAACATTTTAACGAAATTTCCACAAAGGACGAGTTTTTAAAAAGTTTTGCATATTTCTTCAAACACGGAGCAGCTGCAGAGTAAGTAATAACATAAAATATTATCCTTTATAATAATTGGTTTAAAAATTTAAAGTGATGACTCGTCAATGCAAATATCTGGAACATTATCAAAATTAAGTTCTCTCATATAGAGTTTAAGTATTGTCAGATTGTAATTGATATGCCATTAAATGATTACATTAGATTGAATTTTTTGTGATAAATATACACATTTTAAACTATTCCAGGCGTTTTATGTCAAATAGTGAATTGTATGATCAACTTGTGGAGCAAGCATTAAAATTACCAGACACAAGATGGGCAATTGGTGGAAATGCCCCTCTAATGGCCAGAAGATTTTTCATGGAAGGTTGGAAAGTGTTACTTGCTGCGAAAATGAGTGAACAACTCAAAAAAAACATTCCCAAAGAAATAGAAATAGTGGGTGTTGATGAAAATGAGGAAATTAAAGATGATGTTCATATGATTTTGGAATATAAGGCAGATGAACAATTTGGTATCTATAAGTCACCAAGAGCAAACAGATATATAATGCATAATGATGAAAATAATCCTCTACTGAGCTCATTAGAGAAGCTTGGAGAACATTTAGGAAAATTTAAGCCCAGTTTACTTGTTATAAGTGGTCTACAAATGATGGATAATTTCCCATTCAGAAAAGATGGAAGAGGTAATTATATTAATTCTCAAATTGTATACAAAGTAATATCTTTATTTTTAAATAATAATTTAAGTAATTATTTTTACGATTGTCATTACTAAATTACTTCTTTTTTTTCAGATCTCAGAGCTGAAAGGCTTGACCTAGTCAAAGAACAAATTTTGTCACAGCCCCTAAATACATTGTCTCATTTTGAAATGGCCAGTTATGTGGACTTGGAGCTTCTTACACACCTAACAACAAAAGTGTTACCTTATGTAGACTCTGTGGGGATGAACGAACAAGAACTCTCAAATTTGTATAATGTTCTTGAATATGGAGAAGTTGTAGTTGTTGCAGATTCTAACCCAAGAGTAGCAACAGCATTAGATCAAATGCGAAAAACATTCCACCTCATAAGAAAAAAGAACACAGAATATAATAGCAAAAGAAAATTAACCCGAATTCATGTACATACACTAGCATATCAAGCTATTTTAACAGTCAAAGGATCGGATTGGAAGAGAACTCAAGCTGCAACTGCAAAAGCATCTCTAACAGCACACAGATATGTTTGCAACAACCAAAAAATATACCTTGACAAATCAAAATTACTACTTGATGATAGTTTTTCAACAACAACTGACAATGATAATAATAGTAGAGTATTCTTTGAACCAACAAAGCCTGTAGCTTGTTGGGAAGAAGAATTTGATACTACAAAAGTAGAGATTTGTGTTGCACCTGTACTTATTTGCACAGAGGCTCAGTTGACAGCCGGAGCAGGTGATAATATTTCAGCTGCAGGCCTAGTTTTACAAGTAGAAAACTGAAAAACTTAGTCATTAGTTTTAATTGGTTGTTGGTTCCCATTGAAATGTTAAATTATTAGTCATATATATCAAAGTAGATGTTAATAGTAGTGAGCTTAAATGTGCCATGTCACAGTGTTCCTGTCCTATCTAACGATTGCAATCTAAGTAATATGCCCAAATTTGTGAATGTAATTTAAATACAGAAAATGTATGTAAATCATCAACTACAACAAATCATAAGTGTAATATCTATATGTTTGTGTTGTTATCACAAAGTTTTTCAGTTGTACTTTACTTAAATTATTTATTATTGTGTGAAAGAAAGTCATGGCTGCTCGTCCATTTTATTAAATTATTTATAATATAAATGTACAATAACTTACAGTATCTATGAATTTGGCTCTAAAATTATATTAATATTTTAAAAACTTTAATTTTGTAATGTTTGGATCATGGTTGTAAATTTGAAAATCCTTATTCTTAATACATGAAATATTTAATACATTCCTTGTTGGTATGATTTTTATTAAAAAATCTGTTTATTTATGAATTTTTTTTTTCAATCTTTATACATACTTATTATATTTTATACAAATTAATGCTGTGCTGCATAAAGATCTATAATTTTACAGTATGAAGTATATAGGATAATATAATAATTATATTAATTATGTAATTAATATAATTCTTATGGAGTTCCTGCATTAAAATGCAATTCTTGGCAGTTAACACACATAAGTTAAAGCTAAATAATAGTCTACTATCAAGTCTACATTTAGTCTGCCTTAAAATTTTATGAAACCATATAAATAAAAATTAAAAAAAAATAGAAATTGATTCTTCATTTCATTTGTTTCTTTAATAATACAATTCCGGTAATGGTAATATTTTAAATATTCAACTTAATCTTCAAAAACAATTAAAGTCCTATCATACTTGCCACCTAATCAAGTTTGTAAACAATTCAGAGAATGTTATACATAAGAATCAACTCTTTGTTTCTTTTTTCATTTCATTTCAACATGGTTCTTTTAACGTTACCAAACTTTACTATGATAACTAAACCTACTAATTTACTTTATTTTATTTCAATCTATTAGAATATAATTAAATTAGTGGTTAAAAATGATTTTAATGTCATTTTTAAAATTTTGCTTTTTTAAATTTACAACACTAACATGTCATAATATATTTATCAGGAAGTTAATAAAATTAAAAATATTATAAAGGTTATTTCACAATCATTTATTTGAACATATGTTAAAATTTGTGTAGATTTCACTAGCTTTGTTGTTTATGACAAGATTGATTAACAGTTTTTAAAGCCACGGATCAGTTTTCATTAAGCTTATTTTTCTTGGTAACTGGTTCCCCTGAAGGGTCTGGACGTGCTGCACCCTGGTAGCGATCATACAAGCCACTTTTAATAAACCTTTTTGCAGCAGCTATATCAACTGTTGGCCTTTTATCTCTGTCTTTTACTGCTTGCCATTCTTCCATGACCATTTTAATTCGTACCAGCTCATACTTTATTGGATGCTGTGAAGTATCCATACCATTTAACTTCAATTGTATCCAAAATAATGTATTTAATGTTATAGTTACTATTAAATCTATGTCAATTTGAGATGGCAGTGGCATCGTATCATACTTTGCTCTTAACGGCAAAATATTTTCAAGTAATTGTTGTAACTCCATTAAGCTCGTTTTAAGACCCTCAAAATTTGTGACAAAGGCAATGTCAGAAGCCAGTTCACCATAATCGATGTTCCAATTAATATTTAATGCGTTACCAATATTAATTAACATATTAGCCTTTCCCTTTTACGAATAGAAGTATAATACAATCGTTCACTATTTGGTTTATAATTTATTCTACCTATTGTGGTATTTGGTAATTAATACATATAAATTTGAGAGATTGAACCACACTACGGTGAACGGTCTACGGCTGTTTACGAAGACATTAGACAATGACGGTTCACGGTTGACAATTGACACTGGTAGTGATCAAGTTCATAGGTAATATTATAATACTGCTAAAATAAATTTTCTAGTTCAGTAATTAAAATATTTCCTCCCAATTCATATTTAACAAACTCAACCCACATTCAAGGAAGTAACCATGAAAAGCAAAGATGCTTAACAAAAATAGATGAAAATTATAAGTTATTTAATAGAGACATAGAATTAAAAACAATATTCTCGAGTTAAAATCGACGGCGGTGTTTCCTAGTGCAGAGCTAAGAATTAGCAATAACTATAACAGCTATAGTTGACTTTGCGCTAAGTCTCGAATTTGAACCTTACCCTTAGTTATTAATTAATATTTGCAGACAAAATAAAATAATAATATGAATTAAATGTTATTTATTCTCCACAAATGAAATTATAATTCAATAATTAGTGTACTTTTATGATTATTGTACATTGATAATACATTTATCTAATTTATATAACTTCAATATTCAAGGAATTAATCATCTAAGTATTCAAAAGGTTCCGGAGGCTCAGGTTCCTTTTCTTCTTCAGCTTTAGGACCAAAGGCTGCAACTGGTTCAACAAGGGCTTGCTCACCATCACCGGTATGGTTTAACATTACTATTCCACCAATAGTAACGTCTTTCAAGGGAGTAAAGCCCGATCCATCGACTACAGAAACTCCTTTGAGTTGTTGACGCACAACTCGAGCTGGATTGCTAAGAATTTCAAAGTTGGGTTCAGGTTCCTTTTTTTCCTTAGTCTCTTTCTCTTCGCCTTCTTTATCTTCTTTCTTAGTATCCTTCGAAGACGATGGCTCTTTGTCCGATTTTCCGTGAACTGTAATGTTAGGGTTAGGGGACTTGGATGGCTTCTTTTCCTCCTCATCTACATCCATTTTGGATGTTGATGATGACGTAAGGCTAGAAGAGGCATCAGAACCATGCGCGCGTCTTCTCGCTCTAGCAGCTGCAATACTCAGTACTGCAGTAGTAACTCTTTCTCGCTCTTCACGTTTCTTTTCTTCTAATGGCGCAGGATAGGCATATAGTGACGGTTTGGCGTTGGACTTCAACTCAAGTAGTGGCATTTTTAAATCAGAGTTAAGTGCGATGAGACATGTCGGAGTAAATGCCAAGGACAAGCAATGGGCCAATGGGAACCAGTACCAATATTGAGTAAAAACAAGCATGCCTACTACTGCAAGCATGTTCATATGGCCTGTCCTGTTCTGTAGGGAAACTGTAACATTTCTACCGCCAGCATCTATAATACCTTGAGCTAGTATTGCTCCAAACTTTGCCATGACATCCTCATGTTTATTACTAATAACTTGAGCATAAAGCTGACGGAAGTAGGTTACTTTAGGGCATAAAGCTTCAGTCTGTTGGATCAGAATCATAGCTGAAGCAATAAGAGCCCCTTGTCGTACAAAGTTTACAGGGTCAAATTTCACCATTGGCTCTAGTAGACCAATTGCCTCCCTATTACCAGTTCCGGCACAAGCAATACCCAAAGCCATAGCTGCTCCATAACGGACATGGGGGTTGTATGATTCAGCTAACAGAGACACAACTGATGGACATTGTTCTGGTGTACGGAACAATAGGAATCCAAGAGCTGTGACAGCAGCTCGACGAACATCATCGTTTACGTCAGACACGGCAACATGAAGCAACGTGCGAATAGAGTCGTTATTACCTGTACCACAGTAAGCAGTAGCTATAGTATAACAACCAGCACGGCGAAGTAAGGGATCTTTGTCACGTAATAACTGTTGAACAAGAGCATCAGCTTCCTCAAGGCGACCATACATGGTAAAAGAAATGCCAACAGCTAAACCTCTTAAAATTTTCTCATGCTGTGTTTCTTGGGCATAAGCAACCATATCTTCAATTGCTGCAGCATTCCTGGACCCTAACATGACCATACCCATAGCAATTCCAGCAGCCTCACCAGTTACAGCATCATCTTGATATAAATTGAATTTAAGTTGTTCATATACATCTTGTCTATGAGTACCCATTGCAGCGAGTCCTAGTCCCAGACATCCACCATGACGCACCATTTCATTCTGCGCATCTTTTAACTGAGTTAAAAGGTAGTCAATGATATTGGCACCATGATTAGCGTGAATTAAACCAAGAGCGTAAAGTCCACCACCCTCTGAATACCCAGATGAGGGTCCAGCCTCCTTTGGCAAATATGACTGCATCAGTGCTAATGACTCACCTTCGTGGCCTCTATGTATAACACCAAGAGACGCAGTGACTGTTAATTTTGCCCAATTAGTGGCTCTAGCAAGCCATTCCAAATTATCTCTTAAAAACTGATCACTTGTAGTTCCAGCATGCATAAATGCATTAGCAATTACTGTTGCTGTGTGACAGATTGATACTCTTATTGCATCTTTTGTATTCTTTAGTATCAGCATGTCCGCATGATTGGAACGAATTAAGAACTGTAATTGTAGCCCTATAGATACTTCACCACCTAAAATTGATATTAATTTTTCAACCCTTTGTTGATGCTCTTTTTCTTCATCACTTAAGCTTTCTATATCTCTTTCTGGTTTTTTTGATTCTTCTGCTGGTGTTTGGTCTACTTCCATGGATGATTCTGGAAAAGGTCCACCTTGAGGTTGTGGCTTTCCTCCAAGAGCGCTTGGTATTGGGGCTGTGACTCTGAGAGCTTGCAGTACTCTTCCTAAAAACTGTTGTGTAGCTGAGTCGTACAGGTCAAAAGCAATTTGATATGCCATCAGAACTGATTCTTGAGGGCCATGGGTCAATTTGTCCAGAATTTCAGCAACAGAAAGAGGGTCTTCTAAAAAGATTAGGCATTGGCACATATTTACATAGTCAGGTATATTTAAGCCCCTGTATAGTCCTACTAAAGATCTAAGAACTGTGCTTCGGAAACCTCGGTTCTGAAGGAGGCTCATAGCCACTTGAAAAGCATACTGTAGCATTCCTGAAATAACAAAAGAAATATCAGTTATAGATTTTCTTTAGTTTAAGTAATAAGAATATATATATATATATATATAAGTGATAGTTTTTGGCTATAACAAATAGTAAAAACTCTATTTCTAAATTTAACATCAAACTCAATCATAAAATTTGATTAGTTTGGCTGTCTTACATTTATAGTAAATCAACAATTCTTTCCATAACTTGTGTGGTCTCTATAACGACTGTAAAAAAAATTCAGTATTGATATATAAATACTACACAGTAAGAAACTATATGGATTGTTAGTTTAACAGAGTAACATTGTTTACAATTTTTGAGTAAACACAAAATTTATTTGTTTTACCCTATTCCTTTAAAAAAAATTAAATATTATTATTATATTAAAATAATGCCTTCTTCAAACATACATTCTGTTATTATACATTAACTTATAATATTAGGACTCTTACCTGGTATATCATCAGATTTCATAATGGATTGTTCAAATATATCCATTCTTCGTGTTTCGAGCGCCAAACCCAGAGCTTGTCTATACTGTCCATCATCTAAGCATCTCTGGAACATACGATTGACAATGGCTTCCAATCTAGGATCTATCGTCTCTGTTGAACTATCAATGAAAATCGATTTACGCTTCTGGGTATAGAAGTCGATCGCTTTCGCAATCGTTGTATCTACATACTCGTTCCTAGCGTTAACATCGAAAAGATCACCAGCTCCTAGGGCATACGTAAGCGAGTCTTCAAACGCTCCTAAATGATAGTACACTTTACTAGCCACAAGCGCTGCTAACTGATGCTGGGAAAAAACCTTATCCTCGTGCAAGATTTCAATCTTCTCAATTGATTCAGATATTTCAGGCCAGAATTCGTCGACAATGGTGTCCAATCTTTTCAGTGCAAATTCTTTTACTTCATGCATCGGTTCATCGAGCAGGGATATAATCCCCGCTGCTGATGTGATGTTCATTTTTAAGATGTTTTACGAACTTATTCGCTGTAACCTAGCTTTTAGTTTTATCGCTAATATACACTATGCACAAAAGAGGACAAGCGAACACAAAATTTTCACAAAATACGATGTACGATGATTTGACAAATTCATGATATCCAGTATCCACAGAAGATAATATCACAGATTATAAAACGCGTAAAAGTCTAAAATTTATAAAGTAAAACTGAAGGTAAGACTAAAACAGACAAAGAGGACTGAAACATCCATTAAAACCACAGGTTCTGTGTTATTAGACTACCTACCTTTGTTTCAGTAAGATTTCTTTGCCTGGCAGAGGCTTTTTAACCAAGTTTTATTTTCGGGCTCTAATTTTCACTTATTAATTGTGTGTAGATTCCGTTTTTGATTGCTGATAATAGATTTTATTATATGTATTCAATCGTCTACTAAAATTTCTATAACATAAACACTATACAGTTATTTATTTTCAATTAAGTTCAGCAGTTTTCACCCAAGGACCATTTTTCCAAAACCATTGTTTCCTGTGACGCTTAGGAAACTTGAAAGATTTGTCACGTCACACCATTTATGTGACGTGAACACTTGGAACAAAATGTCAATTGACTGTAATTAACCTACTTGAACTGTCAAATAGGAGTGTGTTGGAAGTTGGAACTTGAAAGTTGAAACATTTTGTCTGTGTTGAAACAGCTGCTTTTGTGTTAGACCAATTTTTTTGTTAATTATTACAAAATGTTAGATTTATTTAGCATTTTTAGTAAAGGAGGTATAGTGCTTTGGTGTTTTCAAAGTACTAGCGAAATATTTTCACCATCAGTGAACGCTTTAATAAGAAATGTAATCTTACAAGTAAGTATAATACCCGATCGCAAAGAAGCC